GATAGAAGGTCCCTGACATGGCACAAAATGGGGCAGAGGGTCCCTGACATGGCACAAAATGGGGCAGATAGGGTCCCTGACATGGCACAAAATGGGGCAGAGGGTCCCTGACATGGCACAAAATGGGGCAGAGGGTCCCTGACATGGCACAAAATGGGGCAGAGGGTCCCTGACATGAGGAACAAAATGGGGAAGTGGGTCCTGTAATGTTGCACGCTGAAAAAATTTCATTAAATCTTTGAAATAATCTTGGATATTTTGTTGAATATAAAAAGAAAAAGAAAAAGAGAAACACTTCTTGAAAAACTGCCCCCTTTTAACCATAACGTCATCATGGCTTACAGAAATGTGCAAACCTTGGGTCGGGATTGATGCTTGTTCAGAGTTTCAAGCTTTTGCATAATGATGTTGAAGAAAACACATGAAGTTTTAATCTCAAGAACAAAATCACAGGAAAAAACTTGGAACCAGAACAGCAGTTGCTCAGTCAGGGGATATGCCATATTCATTTGTCAATGCAACCTAACATGTTCTTACACGGGACAGGCAACCCATGGCTAAAAGGACTGCCGTCTAAAGATATTTACAAATAGCATATTGAAGCAGCATGGATCCAAAGCACACAAACTTAATGAGCATGTACAGTGTACATATATCTGCTGGAACCACACTTCCCCATCTATTAACTGTACATGTACATTTACCTGTGGGTTCTGTAGGAATGTTTCCCTGTTATTGATGCATCCTCCAGCTCGGTTGGCCTTGCCTTGACCTTTCTTCCATGCTGAAATCATAACCTTCTCATGCCAGGTACGCTGAATGCTGAAGTAGCTCTTATTGGGCATGCGGCAGATCACAAGATTTGTGAATTGGGTGCAAAAGTCATCAAACGGCATCCTTCAAATGAAATGGACAAAACACACAGAGATAGAACTGTAATAACCTCTTGTCCCAGGATTGCATGTAATGGAAGTGTATTTCATTGGAACCAATCAAATTACTGCAGGGTTCAGAATAGAAAGCCAAACACAACAAAAGAGCCATTTCAGAAATTTGGATGTACATGTACATTTCAGAGACTATTACATACATGTACGTATTATTGCTGTTAGATTTTGAGTATCTAGTATCCCTAACACAAGTGTAATTTCAGAAAAAAAAATGTTGCAATACCATTCCAAATGAGCTTGATGGGCCTGAAAACCCTCACTTTCTGACATATTCAGAAATAATATACTTTATCTTTAAAATATTCTTTAAATATTCTTGTGATCCTATCCAAATAGCACAGAAGCCTCAGGGTCATTGTTTCAAACTGACAAACTTTGGTTTATAAAAGGGACCAAACCAAAGAATTTCAACAACCAAAACATTATACGTGTACAAGTACCTTTCATCTTTTGGGTGATAATGACCAAAGTTTAGTGCAAATTTTCTAAATCTTTCATTTTGTACACCCCAAACCAAGACATTTGACGAATAGACATGTGCAGATATGTGTACAGTGTATTAAATACACTGTATAGGAAATCCTACTCCAAATGGGAGACCACTAAAGTGAGAACATTTGTGCCATAAAACAACTGGAAAGTTAAAATTCCTTTCTGTGGAAGTATGTACATGTAAATGAATGTACATGTACACGTATAACTGCACAGGTGCAACATAAAACGGGTATATAAACTGATTTCACAAACAATTCATGTACTTCAGATCAGATAATGCACCCAATCCTATTGAACAAGAGCTCATCAAGTGAAGGGTTTTAAACATCTGATAAAATTACTAACTGGTACCGATATTATTTCAAGTTTAGCTCTATCCCTGATACTAATAATCACTAACCAAATCTTTGTAATATACATGTACGGGGGGGGGATACATGTAAACATGCAGAATACAACTAATTGGTCTGTAATTCTAAGAGACAAAATTTCACCATGCCTGTACATGTATAAACCTGTACAGCTACATGCTGTGCTCTAAACATTGTTCAGTACATGTAAGCTAAGGGTGTGAATTACCCTTTTGTGAATTTGAAAACTGCTTGGAAAACTTTCCCATACTGTTTCAATGTCTAGTAAGCATCTCATCACCCTTACCACTGTTGCTGAAAACTTCAACTACAACAAATTGTACACAATGTAAATTTTCTTTGACTCAAAGATGAGGTGATGAATTCATGGTATTCCTTTGATATGACCGCACAGTGAAGTGTTCTGAAAATCAGATTACATTTTACAGGTATTGCTTACAAAGAAATGAATGTCAGATTGCATCAATCAAAACGTCAAACCTCTGAAAGGGGTGGTTCCATTTAAACTTTTGGGGAAATCTGTAAATGGAATTTTTTTGGTTTAAATACATGTAAACGTCCTACCCTTAGTGTTGCTTCGTGTACACATACCCTCATTTACAATGGTACATGTACATGTACACTACACAATTTTCATAATACACACATGGCATGTAAGGTGTGCAGAACTTGACAGTTCTGCAAAACTCTAGGTAAACATTTATGTAATTATTTAAACTGCAAATTTAATACTGATTTTTGACTTTGATTTGCCTTTTTTTAAACAGGTAATTTTTTATAAATAGGAATAAAAGCATGATCAAGTAGATGGGCAGGCCTGGCACTGATGACTTGACCTTTAATCGGGTCCATTATCATTCCCAAACACTATACCCAGGTTTAAATGTACACACATACATACAGTTTACTGATACATTCAAACTGCTTTTTCACTTTCATGTAGGAACCCAGCAAATTAAATTTGTAGTTGTTACTATTCTTTGTTTTTTTGTTTAACAATCAAAACCCTCCTTTTTTGATCTTCCTGCTAAGATATTATTTTGGACTTACAAAGTTTCATGCACAGTTCAAGGAACTATTTTAATTTCAAACTGTACATGTACATGTCCCAGTACCATTAGTTCTGAAATGACAGCCTTGTGAAAATAAATCATGGAGCATACAGTCACGCAATGTCCTGCCCTACGGGTATCATCCAATGTCTACATGTATAACTGAAACACACACAAAAGTCTAGTTAAAATTACAATAACCTGCATCAAGATGAGTCTGCAAGACCTTTTTATACCATTTTTACAGTGCAGCAAACACCTTTTAATGAAACAGGCTCATCATGGGCCTAACTACGTGTACATGTAGGACCAAACATACAATAGCTCATCTTTCCTTCTAACCAAACATACAGTAGCTCATCTTTCCTTCTAACCGACTATTCTATTTCTTAGATGTATAATGTACATCCATATGTGACAATATGGTTTCTGTCAAAATTCAAAATACCCATAAAACCTACATGTACATGTTTTTCTGAAGTCCGACTTACCAAAATTCCCCGTCATCATCAAAAGTAATTCCAAGGCTCTTTCTCTGACTATCACTAACTTTATTCCATTCTGGAGATCTACAATTGAGAAAAAATATCAAGATTGGACAAAATAAATAATTATCATCATTTGGGTTTGTCATAAAGTCCTCAGACTCATCAAAACTGTCACTGGCCATGACACATACAGTATATTCATGCATGTACATCATTCATTATAATTTCACTGAATTCAATAACAGGACAACACTGCTACAGACAACAGCAATGGGTGACATTTTATTAAACTGTAGTTTGCATGTTTATAACCAACTCATCATCCTTTCTAAACACAGCTCTCTTTGGTGACATTTTTACAAAGGTGAAATTACATGGTACATGTTGCCCTATTTTCATCCATCAGCCTAAATCACTTTGTGATCCAAATGATCACCATGATCAACATAATACATGTACATGTACATGTATCAACATACATGTATCATGGCTTAGGGTAAATCATTTCCATGTCATCTGTTAGCATTTTGTCACAGTTTTTTCTACATGTACATGTAAATTATTTTACAAGATCTGCTACTTTCATTGGAGTCCTGCTTCCACATGGTTACCGGTATTATTGAGAAAACAAAATGGAAATGAAAAGGAAGCTTTGAACAACAGAAATACAGGGAGACTGAAGGATATGTGAAAAATGGGTTGGTACTCTGAAGAAACAAGAGGAAGAGTATGGTATGAAGCATTTCGCCCTGGAAGCAATGCCAGTACATGTATACTGTGGAGTGTGGTTATTGTTAATATACCATACTGCAACACAATCCATTGGTAAAACATCAAGAAGGCCTATTTCCATTTGTACAGGGTTACCATAGTGTACTCTTTCCACTCTAAAGGGGCTTAATTTGCCTGAATTCCCCACACACCAGAATATGGAAGTACATATAACAACATCACTGGTACTCATCAGGCTCTCCAGAGGGTTATGGTCAGGACCAGCTATGCTCTACTATTCTTTAACAATTGTTCTGTAGCAAACAGTGTATTCAGGGTTTTCGGTATTATTTTAATTTCTGTAATTCTTTTATAAGGTGACCCTGCTGTTAATTTGGGCTCCAGATATTTGTTTAATAGGCCATAATAGAAAAAGCTAGCACAAGTCACTGTCTCACTGTGACTGTGACACAAGTATTCATACATCATAAACTCTAAATGATTTGACTCTGAACAATGTACTGGTACTTGTCTGCTAAAAGTAATGAAGCACATAATAACATTTATGTATACAGTATCAGAGACGTTCTTCTGTATGTGTTCTGCCATCAAAACACTCCACAGCTGGACTTGGCTCCGACTTGACAATTCAGACTCGGACTTGAGCCGGACTCGGACAAAAATATAGATGTACATGGCTCTGACATAGTTTTTAAACATAAACCAATCATCTCTAATGTTCACTAATGAGAGGAGTGATACCAGAAGATCCAAGCAAACATCATATAATGATATATGACCAAAAAAATGTCCTGGCCTCTGTCAGTTATGTCTAAATGCACTCAATGAGATTCAGTTTGTATGAAGCCACTCACCCATCACTCCATGGTCCAAACATCACATGATGATATAAGACAAATAAATGTCCCAG